TAAGTTGTTACCTAATTAATGCACATTTTTAGATGTTTGTAGAAATGTGGATAATATTTTTTAGACTCTTATTTTCAGGAGATAAAATGATTTATATTTGGAAATGCATGATCTAGAAATGTGTGAGTGTTATAGTCATGAATCTCAGACCTGGAATCTCTTTTTTCTCACACATACATCTTTTAAAAAGTTTGAAATAGTCGAGTATTTGTCAGAGTTTATTGATTTAGAAAACAAACTTGAATAAACTTTTGGTTAGCCCCACTAAAGTACACATCTCATATTTAAACATTTACAAGACTCATAATAATAGTGACAGGTGAGATGTGTTATGGGTAAACAAAAGGGGGTGCAGGAAAAATTCATAGGGAAAAAATGCCAGGAAATATTTTACATTAAAAATCAATAAAACATGCTCATTTCATCCATTAAGCAGCAATTCTATAAGTAATGTAAATCAGGGATTCCAGATGAAAGGCATAATTCTGGGACCAATATTTTAAAAGACATTACATATAGTCACAAAGAGGAAAAGTTAGCCCTCAAAAGGAAAACCTGATCAATTCTTTAAGTTCTACAAAATCTTCATGTTGTGTTAAGAATGGGTAAGGCCTTTTCCTTTTTTAATCATTTAGCAGTTTAATATGGAGTTTGTGGCAGTCAACTGATATTGAAAAAACCTCCCCCTGGCAATCCTGGATCTTAAATGTCTTTTGAAGTTTGAAGTAGCATGTAACATGGCAAATTCTAGAAATGAACGCAGCACGGATCTTTCCTTCTGGGAAGAACATTAATTCTGAGAATGAAAGTTCAGGACATTTAGCTTGTGTGAACTGGCAGAAAGCTAAAGGTCTCTTGGGAAATTTTAGTATATTGCAATAATTATAATTGTCATAGCTCAGATTTTATTCATATCATGTGATAAGAAATGACATTGTGAAAATATTTAAAGCACTCTCAGGCTTCCAACTTGCTTCAATCTTTCCTGCTATCTATTTCTCACATTTCATTGGGCCTTCCTCTTAACCCTTTTCAATTTTGTTCCCTCATTTTTTGAAAATAAAATTTTAGGTTTTTAAAAAAAATTTTATTTTTTTTATTTTGGAGAGGAAGGGAGAAGGAGAGAGAGCTAAAAATATCAGTGATGAGAGGGAAACATTGATCGGCTGCCTCCTGTATGCCTCCTACTGGGGATCGAGCTGCAACCCTGGTTTTGTGCCCTGACTGGGAATTGAACCCTGACCTCCTAGTTCATAGGTCAACACTCAACCACTAAGCCACATTGGCCAGGCTAAATTTTAGTTTTATCAAAGTATTAGATGCAAACAAATATTTGCAAAAAATAAATATAGTGTTAAAAGACATAACTATGACATTCATTCAATCCCCTTGTCTTACACCCCAGGGGGAAATGCTTTTTGACTTGTTTTCTAGTTACTAATCTTTGTAATTTAAAAATATATGCATATACTACATTTTATTTCTTCATCAACAAAAATGTTCTATTATGGTATAAGAGGATTTCACTCACAATTTTCCTCTCCTCCCTTAACCATCACATCATCTCAGTATACAGGAGTTCCCCCTTATATTGACAAATCCTCTTGGGGGATAAATTCCAACACCTACAGTGGATGCCTAAAACCCCAGATAATACTGAACACTATATATACTGTATTTTTCCCATACATACATATCCATGATAAAGCTTAGTTTATAAATTAGGCATGGTACGAGATTAACAATAATAACTAACAATGAAATAGAGCAAGTATGACAATAAGCTAAAATGATAGTTATGTGAATGTATTCTCTCTCTCAAAATATCTATTATGCTGGATGTACAATGTCGATATGCTGGACAAAGAGATGATTTATGTCCTGGGTGGGAGGGAGCAGGACGGCTTGAGATTTTTATCAGGATACTCAGAATGGTACCAAATTTAAAACTTAAATTGTTTATTTCTGGAATTTTCCATTTAATATTTTCAGCAGTTTACTGCTGGAAACTGAAACTGAGGAAAGAAAAACCACAAATAAGGGGGGGACTACTGTATTTCAATTTTTAGTTAAAAGAATATTCAGTATTTTCACTGTGACAACTACATAATTGATGTTTATGCTATACCAGGTAAAGTGCTATGATGCTTTTGATTTCTTATACAATTCATTTCCTCGGTAGCTACTAAATTCCTAACATTTTATTTATTTTTCACTTAGCTGTTTTTGAAGATCTAAGTTTTCTTCAGTTTCCAATAGCTCTTTAAAATGCCTCTCAGTACAATTTTCTTGATAATCAAACATGTCAGATGAATTATTAGTTCCACGTATTTTCTTGGAAATAGCTTTCATGCTTTTATCTGAACAATTGGCTTTCTAGGCCAAGTAAACATGTTTTACTTTTTCCTGGAATGTTTGTTTTCATCTTGGAAATTTCCTTTGCTTCTACCCTTTGTCAGTATCCTTCTACCCCATAGCTCTTGTATATTATTTTAGTTTAGATTTAGCTATAAATAAAAAACTAAACCAAAAACCTTTCCCAAAAGTTGCTTAAATAATGGAAGTTTATTTTTTTCCTGAAAGAAAAACCTAGTAGTAGATAGTTTGGGCTGGTGCTGTAGCTTCGTGTGTATCGAGTTCCAGGATCTTATTTTGCTTTGCTGCCATGCTTAGCATGTTGCTCCATCTCCTAGAGCAGTGATGGCGAACCTTTTGAGCTTGGCGTGTCAGCATTTTGAGAAACCCTAACTTAACTCTGGTGCCGTGTCACATATAGAAATTTTTTGATCTTTGCAACCATAGTAAAACAAAGATTTATATTTTTGATATTTATTTTATATATTTAAATGCCAATTAATAAAGAAAAATCAACCAAAAAAATGAGTTCATGTGTCACCTGACACACGTGTCATAGGTTCGCCATCACTGTCCTAGAGAGTATACAATGGAATATTACTCAGCCATGAAAAAGAATAATATCTTACTATTTGTGACAGCATGAATGGACCTAATAGGTACTATGCTAAGTGAAATAAGTCATACAAAGAAAGAAAAATACCATATAATTTCATTTATATATGGAATCTAAAGAACAAAATTAACAAATAATGTAGAAACAGACTCATAGGTGCAGAGAACAGAGTGATGGTTGCCTGAAGGGAGTGGGTTTGGGGGACTGGGTGAAAAAGGCTGAAGAAGTACAAATTAGTAATTACGAGAAGAGTCATGGAGATGTAAAGCATAGCATAGGGAAGAATATTGTCAATAATAGTGTAATAATTCTGTTTGGTGACATGTGGGTACTTGAAATATCGGAGAGAATACTTGGTATAGGATTGTCTAGCCACTATGCTGTACTCCTGAAACTAATACAAAATAATATTGAATGTTAAATGTAGTTGAAAAATAAAATTTAAAAAACCATTTTTCTTACATTTTCTTGACCAAAACATAGTGCCTTGGCTATATCAACTTGCAAGGAAATCATTACTTCAGGAAATAAATTCTTCAATCTGAGCTTCAATATTCCCATCTAAAATTTGGAATTGTATTATCAAATGCAAAGTGTATAATAGACATTGGGAGGCAACTACCACATCTACCATCATCATCCTCATTGGGAGGGAGAGGGGAGAATCAGGAATGGGCAGAAGGAGAAATCACACTGTGAGGTAGGCTGGGTGATGTCTTCCGCCAACCCAGGGGAAGCTTGGGAGCTAAAATAGCTCATCAGAGATGGCCCTTTGTAGTCGTAATAGCTGGACCTTTATATCCCTGCCTCTGTCCATCATTAGATGAGGGTCTCTCTGGGAAGCATATGATCTTGGATGAAGCAGCTCTCCTCAGCTAAAGCAATCTCTAAAGAGATTGACAGCTATCTTTGATAACCTACTCTTGTATCCTATGAGGGATTAGATATATTATTGTCACCCACCACATGAGACTAGTATCTTCAAAATATTTTAAAGTCTCCTAAGATAAGGGAAACATGGATAGGAATGCTTGAGTGAAAGTTTCAAACTGGATCATTGAGTGAATACAAAGTAATACTTCTGGGGCCTATCCCAGAGTATCCCTGGGCTCTTTGAGTGCTGAAGAAATGTAAGACAAGGTGTTAATCACCTTTTTATGAGTAACTTTAAGAATCCATGCTTCTAATAGCATTACTTAGAACTTCTTTTTAAAAAAATATATCTTATTGATTTTTTACAGAGAGGAAGGGAGAGGGATAGAGAGTTAGGAACATCGATGAGAAAGAAACATTGATCAGCTGCCTCTTGCACACCTCCTACTGGGGATGTGCCCGCAACCAAGGTACATGCCCTTGACTGGAATCGAACCTGGGACCCTTCAGTCCCCAGGCTGACTCTCTATTCACTTAGCAAAACCGGTTAAGGCTACTTAAAACTTCTTGCCTGCTCTGTCTGTAAAGTATGGTAGGATGATGTTGAAGATTAAATAGAACATACATAAAAAAGTGTAGCACGGGGCTGGCACACAGCAGCAGTTCCCACCATAGCTACTGCTACTGTGAAGATCCTGCTGAGGGTGTTAAGTATGATAAGGCAAGAGCTGAAAGAGCTTCCTGCCTATATTTGTCATTTTCACTCAATACTGATTCTCCAAATATTCCTGTAGCATCTGCCATGTGTCTGACTCTGGGTTAGAGACTTGGTTTGAAGAAATGAACAAAGTAGATATGAGTCCTGTGCTCACTGTACTTACAGACTGGTCATGAGGCAGATATTAAAGAGAATCCAACACATAAATTTAGAAAGGCAAATAGGGATAAGCTTTCTAAAGGAAAATTCAGTCTGGCTGGTGTTGCTCAGTGATTGAGCATCAACCTATGAACCAGGAGGTCATGGTTCAATTCCTAAGTTGCAGGCTCCATCCTCAATAGGAGGCAGCCAATCCATGATTCTCATCACTGATGTTTCTATCTCTCTCTCTCTCCCTTTCCCTTCCTCTTTGAAATCAATAAAAATATTTTTTTAAAGGGAAATTCACAGTGCTACAGAGGAATGCAAAAGGGGAATGAAGACTGGAAGGTGAAAAAGGATCTCTCCGAGGAAACATTGATGAGACCAGAAGAAATGGAATGTGATAACAAGCACATGGTTTGCTGAAGAGCACGTGCGAAGGCCCTCAGGTAGGGAAGAGATAGGTCACCTGGACCTGCAAGCCTAATGGGGCTGAAATGTAGCTGAGGAGTGGGGAGAAGAGGTACCACACGAGGAGGACTTGTCAAAGAGCAGAGTTTTTCCTAAATGCAATGGAAAGTCATTTTGACTAGAAGAGTGACATGATGTAGTTTACATGTTTAAAAAAAACACTTTAACAGCTTTTTGGATAATAGCGTAGGAAGATGCCGGAGCAGAGCAGGATGACCAGTTAAAAGCTGTTTTTATTTCAGGGAGGGCGTAACAGCCTCTTAAGGAGGCATCACGGCAGTAGAGAAGGAGATGAATGAATATTTTATATAATTATTGTCTGGTACATTTTATTACTATCATAATTATAAATATGACATGCAGCTGAAGATGTATGTGTACATATATGTTTACATATCTTCACATATGTACGTACGTCTGCAGCTATATATGTTTATAATAATTATGATGATAATAATATAATATGCCAGACAATTTATTAAGCCCTTTCAAATGCATTATGCCATTTGCATAGAATCTCTTTAAAAAGTGGGTACTCTTCTGTTAATCCTCATGTTTTTAAATCGATAAAACAAAAGCCAGAAAAGTTAAAATAACTTGCTCCAGGTCACACAGGTAGAAAGCAGTGTTGCTTGGATCTGACCTTAAACCTGTCTGATTCTAAAACCCATATCCTCAAGCATTATTCTATTCTGTGCTCGCCACCTCGCCTGACTTGAGTACTTTGTTTAGATTCTCTCCCTCTTGGCTGGTACCAGGGACTCCTTTCAGCTTCCGAACCTTCAGGCTTTGGAATGAGCAGGGACAGTGGTTGTGCTGGGAGCATCCGTCCCAGGCAGCTGGGCAGGTTTTACATCAGCCCCAATCTCAGTCTCACCAGAGGCTGTAGGAGCTCTCCTCGTGTTTCAGAAAAGTGGCCTTTATGGCAAGTGAGAGCAGCTACTGAAGCTGTACTCCCGTACATTAGCACAGAATGGAATGGTAATTGCTTTCAATTGTGTGGAGCTGCAGATAATCAAGCAGAGGGATTGGAATAAGTGTTTTGAAAGGAACATGGAAAATTACCAAAGCAGAAGTGTTCTAATGAGAAAAGCAGGGTACACAATCTGAGCATATCAGGTGGTGAAGTAGGATTCAGAGTAGATCACTAAGAGGATGTGCTTTTCAGGGCAGGGGAGGGAGTGGAGAATAGACTGATAAATAAATGAGTGTAAAGATCTTGACATAGTTGCAGAGAGGAAACGTGGAAAAACAGAGTGAGGTACAGCAAGAATTGATACCACTTTTGAAGTTTACTATATACAATTAGAGGCATCGTCTCGTTTAATTCACCCTCACAATATCCCTTATTTACTGAGGCTCAAAGATATTAAGGAAAATGCCTTGCATTGTACAGTGAATATGTGGTAGAATCAGGATATTACATCTGCCTGCCTCCCATGTTGAACTCAAATATTATATCCTCCTGTCACAAAGAAGAGGAAAGGGGCAGGGATTTTGAATGGATTCTCTCCATGATTTTTTGTCTTTTATCCTAAAGGAGAAGGGAGCCCATAAAGAGAGTACAGGAAAAAAGAGGGAAATACGTTACCTGTGTAGGTTTTAGGATGACCTCTCTTTAGAAGACAACCACTCTGGCTGAGCAATTAAAGTGAAGGCTGCAAAGTGTGACACACGGCACAGACAAATCCTCAAAGGCTGTATCTCTAGTGACAGAATGAGGTTTCTCAGGAGTTACTGCAGCTACCCGACAAATGGTAGTACATTTCGAATCATGCATGGGGAATAATAAGAGTGAAGAGATTCACACTAGAGCTTAGAAATGTTAAAATGTGTGAGATGCCACCAGTCAGAGAATTTAACTGGTCACCATTTGGTCAAGGGAGCCTATTTCTAGTGAGAGGATATTTTATCAGAGACAGCAGGGACGTCTAGATCAAAGGCTGATGCTGATTCAGGAGGTAGACAGTGAGCTCCTGAGGTCTGTGACTTGCAATAGTCACATAGCTAGTTGCTGGTTAGAATGACAGCTGCCATGTATCAAGTACTTCCTATGCTAGGTATTACTCTAAGAGTTTCCCATGCTTTAATGTCTTATCACTCAACTCTCCTAAGACCCCATATGCTAGGTGCTATCATTATAATAACTGCCATTTTACAGATAAAACAAAAGGAAAGATAGGTTGAGAAATTTGTCTAAAGTCATACAACTAGTAGCTACTACAGGTGAAATCTGAGCCTAGGAGATTTGACCCTACAGCTCATGTATCTAACCACTGAACATGCTGTCTCTCTTCATTGCAAGTTGTTGTTTTTTTTTACATCACTTGCTCTAACATTCTAGAATTCGTGAGGTGAGTATGTAGATTAGATCTTTTTTTGAGACCTTCCTCTCTTTGCCTATATTAAAAATTATTATTAAGCATTGTTAGAAATTAGTGGACTATTTACTATAAAGCATTTTACAAGAAGTCTTGTTCTCTGATATATGTAAAAACAGAACCCTAGATAGAAATTTAGGGATCAAAATACTTGTTATAGAACAAAAACTCATTAAACTTTGTTTGAAGAGAATAGGTGGAAATTGACATACTTAAATATGTCTAATTCTGTAAAGGTTTTTCTTTTTTAAAAAGTTAGGCTTAACTTTGCCCCCTGTGATTATACTGGGGATTGGCTTGGTTGGAAGGAAGTATCTGAGTGGCCAGACTTAGAAGAGAGTGCATTCCTTCAAAGCGGTTACCAATGATGACATGAGAAGATGAGACAATCAAAGTTTGAGAGGGAGACTCATTCACCAGGGCCTGTATGGCTCAGTTGCTTGGGTGTTGTCCAGTGCACTAAAAGGTTGCTGGTTCGATTCCCAGCCAAAGCACATGCCAGGGTTGCTGGTGTGATGCCCAGTAGATGGTTTGTGGGAGTGCAGGAGGCAGCCGATTCATGTTTCTCTCTCTTCTTCTCTCTCTAAAAATAAATTTTTTTTAAAAAGAGGGAGAATTATTCTACTAAGCTAGAAAAGGAAGGCCAAATAAGGCCAAATGTGCCACTAGATTAGAGACTAAGTACTAATATGGAAAACAGCAGTCAAAATAAGCAAGGATTACCTGGACCAATTAGTTTTTGTCACCCATGCTGCTGCTCAGAGCTGCCTCTATTTAAAGGTAGCAATTGGTCAAGTTGAATGATTCTGGCTACATTTTGAAAATATGCATGAGTAGAACAAGAATATGGAGTAGAATGACAATACACTCTCTATTGTTCAACCGTGGCAGTGTTTTGTTCAAAAATTCACTTTCTCATTTTACATTTTATTGTTCTAAGCACCCTGCAAGGCCAAGTGGGAGACGTGAGCTCTGCTAATCTCAGCCAAAACTGTATTAAATCAAATGAGAGTCAGAAGAGGGTTGTCAATGTATGGTTGAGAGCAAAGGTTTTGGTATCAGACAACCTGGCTCCAACTACACTCTATGTCTTACTCACTATGTCCTCTACTGCTCTCACTGTGTAGCCTTGAGCAAGGTTATCTGATCTGTAAAATGTTATACTAATGCCAATTTTATAAAATTGTTTGGATAATTGAGAGGATACCAATGAGGCTGTACTAGGCACCTAATAGATAGTGGCTATTATTTTAATTGAGTTTATTATCATTAAAAAATGGTCAAAACCTGTGAGGTTCAAATGGTAGGGGAGAAAGAACTAATTTCAAGCCCCTCCAGTCCCTCCTGGCTACACAGTAAGCACTCGCTGAATGGGCATTACTATTATCAGCTGATATTTACAGAATAGCCTACAGAGAAGCTCATAATCTATCAAAAGGGCTGCTTTCATTCTCACTGCATTGAAATCTCTCTCACTTTTATATTTAACTGTATTTCTAGCACAGAAAATGACTGTCTCTACCTTGACACAAGGCCAGTTTCCAATTTAAAGTATTCCCTTATTGGAATAAAACAGAAAAAAGTATAATGTTTAATGCTTCATTTAGGTATCGTGCAACTCTATCAATACTAGTGTGTTCCTCTGCTTTGGGATGCAGGGACCAGGGACTGGATTCCTCCAGCCTCTTTTAAGGGGCACCTGGTGGATCTGAATTATGCATTCTGGGTTGAAAGTGGAAAATTTGAGGCCCACATAACTCAGTGAGTTTAGAGATATGGATTGCTTAACTCTAGGATTAGAATCAGGCACTGGGAAGAAAAAGAATGATTTTATAAAGAATAGTTTTAGAAATATAAAAATTATTATATTGTCAAATTAGAACCAAAGCGTTATAACTTAAATTTGAAAAATTCTAATCGATGATTCAAATTTCCCATTTCTTTATTCAACAGAAATTGATTCAGTGCTCGCTATATCCTAGATGCTTGAAATTTACATCATCTTCATCTCTGACCACAACTGAACAACACAGGCCAACAAGGTAAAATTGAATTTTACAATAGTCTCGGGTTATACTCCATTAGTGGCACTGTTTATGTTTTTTTAATGTTTTTTAAAATATTTTTATTATTGATTTCAGAGAAGAAGGGAGAGGGAGAAAGAGAATTATTGATTGGTTGCCTCCTGCACACCCCCTACTCAGGATCGAGTCTGCAACCCGGGCATGTGCCCTGACCGGGAATTGAACTGGTAACCTCTTGGTTCCTGGGTCGACGCTCAACTGCTGAGCCACACCGGCCAGGTCATTAGTGGTATTTTTATTTAACAAGTTTATTTCTTCTCACTTTGTACACCAATACTTGCCTCCTTTCCTAGGCAGTGAATGAAGATTAAGAGTAGAAGTAGAGGCCAAGGTATTTCTGCTCCCATCTTGCTTATGTTCCTTTCTTCTCACCTGGCACGGGTAGCACTATTTCCTCTCCTTGCTCCTTCAGGCTTAAAGGTGGTAATGCCTTTCACTTTCCAATAGTCTGTGAGTGCTTCTACACCTTTTCCTGGTTTCCTTATCTTCTGTTTACTCCTTTGTAGACCGTCCTTTTATTGGATTTGCTTCAAAAGTCCCATCTGTGTGAGCCTTCCTGCCTGGAAATTGATTAATAAATAACTGCTCCTATATAGCTGAGATAAGAATTTATCTGTTATCAATGATAAACAAAAAATATCATCTAAAACAGTCTTACTATTTCAAAACAGATAGCAAGGTGAAATAACTTAGCCATTGTTGTAATTCACATTTATATACACAAATGTAGGGATGTATACATAGGGCATTGGCCATCAGTGATTTCCAGAAAACAATTTGCCTGCTATCTTTATTGTCATGAGAATTCTTAATTAACACACATTGTTTTGTACAGGTGAGCCCACCATTGTCAAACATGTCAAGGCAGGTACATCAAGACTTTTCCATAGAGATTGAGTTACTCCTCCTCTTTGCCTGACAATTTCTCTTGGTTGTAGAGAACAGTGACAAGAAACCAGAAAGGAAACACCATGTTTTACAGTTTAGCAGGAAAATCAAAAGGAACAGACATGCAATCTGTTGCTCCTCTCCCATATGGGTGACAATAATGCGATTGGAAGAATAAGTACTAATTAGCTAAATGAAAAGCTCAAACTGTGACTGTTGAAGAGTTTAATTGTAGGGCAAACTGAGATGCTTTCCCAATCCTGGAGAGAGAAGCAGAGAGAAACTCAGAATGTCTCACCTGCACAATCTGGTCAATATAAGCCTTGTATGTCTCAGAGGAAATATCAACGATGTTATTTAGAGGAAATACTAAGAAAGATTCTAGTTGAGAATTAAGGAATTTGATTATTTATGCATATCTTATTCTAAAAACCAAAGTAAAAATATTGTTCAAAATAATTCTTTAGCTATATTTACTAAGAGCAGGCTATCAAAATATACATTAGCATTAGGATTTAAGTATTTATTTAAAACTCTACAAAATTCATTGTCTGAATATATTGTTATGGATTGAACAGAGGGAGAATTTATTGCTGCCTGGGCCAAATGGCTATATTAAAAATCAGGTGAAGAATACACATAATATTTATTGAAACATTTATTTATTTTCTCCCTGCTAGACTAGTAAACACATCTAGAAGAAAAGCAATTATGTTTGCTCTTAGGATCATCATCTGCTAATCTAATAATCTCTAGCTCATTCCTCTTCTGGAATTAGATGAGTAAATCTTGGTTCCTAGAATATTCTGTCATGACATTCACATTATCTCTCGGTCTCCTGATACTAACAGAAAAAATAATCTAGTTTGTAGTGATTTGGGGTAACTTAGGTTATAATTTGCCTATATCAGTGCAAACAATGCACTTATCTTGGGATTTAATTCTCTTTTCACCACCATTAGATCCAGCTTTTTGTGATCTGTGGCTCTTTCTTATGGTCTTTGAAAACACAATCAAGACAAATGACCAAAACAAAATAAGAGTTGAATAATTAAACATTTCCTTTATCCTGGTGATTTCTGCAGCAGTCTGCCTTGGGCTTCAATTAACTTATGAATATAAGAGACCTGACTTTTAGAAAATGAGATTTCAGCTTCTCTTATCTTGCCTTCAAACAAAGTAATTTTGATAGAGACAAGACTGGGCCAACCACATTTATCCTTATAATTCCTGAATATCAGCTTTTGGGATAGTTTATCCTTATAACAAAAATGTTTTCCACTTGATATCAAGCTTTTTAAAAGGCTGGCCTAGTATAATTTAACACATGCAACCCCAATCCTAATGTGTGTGATATTTTCTGAACCAAATATTGTCTGCTAGTTGACATCACAGTATTAGGTGACCAGTATGATAGAACTGCAGTAATTCTAAAGGGGGTTCTTACATGGAAAATATCATTTGGAAAAACTACTTCCTACTAGCTATTATAACAGGGTTAACTACATTAATAAAAGATGGAAATTCTTGATTATAATTTTGTGTGATTATAATCATCAAGTTCTAAATAGGCCCAAGAGGAATTTTACTTACATGTCTGATTAAGAGAGAAATATACTAGATTATTTAGTGATTAACCCTCTTTTTTCCCTCCTTCCCTAAGGAAGTTATTTTGGGTTTGGGTGAGAATCATCATTTTTCCCTTAAATTCACTCTCATCTTCAATATTGCATCTGATTCGTAAAGCATGTAACTGGAACAGTGCAAAATGAGGACCTCTAGAATTTGATGGTGACCTTAGGAAGTTAGCAAGCGTCCAGCCCTGGCCAGGTGGCTTGGTTGGTTGGAGCATAGCCCTGTGCACCAAGGGTCAAAGGGTCATGGGTTTGATTCCCAGTCAGAGAATACACTTCAGTTTTGGGTTCCATCCCCAGGTGGGACACATACTAGAGGCAACCAATCGATGTTTCTCTCTCTGTCTCTCTCTTCATTTCTCTCAAAAAAAATCAGTAAAAACATATCCTCAGATGAGGATTTTAAAAAAAAGTGTCCAGTATTCTGCTCATGATTCATCTGGAGGGGAGGTTTTCCTTCTAAATACATATCAAAATACAAGGTGGGCAGAAGTAGGTTCAAAGTTTTTTGTATGGAAAATAATACAATACTTAATAAATAATGATACAAGAATAAATTCTGTGTTTTACGTATTCACAACTGTAAACCTACGTTTGCCCCACCCTGTATACAACCTCCAGAATAGCCCAATATAGTAAACTAAGTGTTCAAAGAAGCAACAGGAAGAAAAAAAATACTAGTAAATTTGTGAAATTATACCTAAGAAATAAACTCAGATAAAATTAGAATCAACGTCTTATTATTTAGTGAATGTCTCCCCTAGAAATCAAAAGAAACATTGGCTCCAATACAAAGGACAATATGAACTTAAGATCAGGAAATAGGGTTACCCATGTCTGACTTCTATGAAAAAACTGTAAAAACACAAATTTCTTTTGATGACCTCATAGCATATTTACCAACTGACCCCAATTTGTCCTGCAATTTATAGATAATAATGTTTTATCTATTAAGCATTAAGTATCTCAGTTTTTCAAGATAATAAACTTAAAAGTTCATAAGACCCATTGATAAATTTATTTTTTTAGGAATAATCTGAAATTTATCCTCAGTGGTACACTCATCTATACTATTTATCTTAATTAACACATTGTAATTAATACATTGAGCATAATTCTCTCCAGACAATATAAAGGCTACTCAATCTTCAAAAGACATCAACCCTTTATATCCTCAAATATACCTATTAATCTATTCACCTTTACTGTAAAATTTAATGTCAAATTCCCAATACAACCTATGTTTGGTTCTACTAGCAAAATAAAAAATGAGTTAGCTGTATATACTGCCCCATTTTTTTAAAAAAAATATATTTTTTGACTGACTTCAGAGAGGAAGGGAGAGAGAGAAGAGAGAGATAGAAACATCAATGATGAGAGAGAATCATCAATTGGCTGCCTCCTGCATGAGTCCATAACCTGAACATGTGCCCTGATTGGAAATCAACTATGAATTCTTGGTTCATAGGTTGATGCTCAACCACTGAGCAATACCAGCTGGCAATATACTGTCCCATTTTTAAAAACTAGGACATGAGGCTTGATGGGGTTAAAACATATTCTCAATGCCTTAATAAATTTTAGGAGTTGCTTTTCACTGTAATATCCCATGGACTCTAATTTTTTAGACTGTAAGCTTTATGTAGGCAGAAGCTGTGTGGTTCAATGGTATATATACACAGTACCTAGTGCAGTGCTTATAACTCAGTAGGCATTTGTTGCTGTTCATGTTAAAGTCACAGCTACCATGGAATGACCTTTGTTTCATTTTCACCAAGAAAATAGTACAGGATTACAAAAAAAAATCCCAATATTCAATAATCTTTTCCAGTCTTTGATTTCACAAAATAATAGACTTTTATACTTTGGGGGAACTTCAGGATTATATACTCAGTTTCCTCATAACTGAATGTCTCCGTCTCCCAAGCAAAACAGTAAATTTCCCAAAGGTCACACAGCCAGTATGTGTTGGAGCTGGATGAGGGAGACTCTAGATCTGGGAGACTTTAAACTCTATTGCTGAGGCAATGGCTTTTCACTTCCCACCTTTGAACATCTGCTAGAGAAGGAACAACTGTCACATATGTTTCCACATTCCATGAAGGATCCAGTAAACTGATCCAATGGGTGACAACAGGTCTAAAACCTGCTTAGCAATGGATCCTTCTGTGGGAACTCAGAAAGAGAGTAAAATATAGCTTCATGCAGTTTCTTGGTATTTGGTAGGAGCTCTCAGAGGAGGAAAGGGGGCAATACTGGAGGTTGAGAATTGGGTAGGAGGTGAAGACAGCAGAGAAAACCAGAGGAAATAATAGCCAGGATTTTGCATTCTCCTTTCTACTTAATTGGCAGCTCCTATCATTCAAAGTGTTACAAACTATAATTACTATTCAAACAGACTCCAGGTGTGTCTGTCAGATGAGAGGTCAGAAAAAGAATCATTTTCACCACCCCAGAAATCTCAGTAAAACTAATGAGGTAATTCTAAGTCTTCACCTCTGGGAGACTTTTTTGGACTCCTTAATTATATCCCTATGACCTTCCGTTAAATTGATTCCTTTAAAAAACAACAACACCTATTCAGTAAATAAAATGATTTGGCACTGTTCTCTCTCCACTAAGGAAGGGGCGAGGTGTATGCTGTCCCAGTACTGTTTGCAACATAGTGGGGTCAGGTCTTAGTGAGAAGAAGTCAGGCAATGCCCCCATAGGTATCCCACCAAGCAGAAAAATGTGTAAGGCATCCTTTGTACACGTCTTCATATCCATTGGGCTCACTCTTTTTCTAGCACTGCTGCAGCAATGAATTTTCACAGGTATAACCTGACAGCAAGATATATCTATCATTTTGGCTTGGGGATTCTTGGATACAGCAGCATGGGATGGGTGTGAGCGCTGTTAACACTCTAGGAAGCACAGTTTGATGGATGATAGCAGGAGTCCGGTCTTTTCTTCCACTGACATCTATGACACCTCCGAAGATCTTGGCTGGATTGAGATTCAGTAGTCCGCTACAGAAATCAGTGCACAATATTACCAATAAATTGGCTCTCCCTTCTTTTCTGTTTCATTCTCTCTCATCCCTCATTACTGTTCTCTTGTCTTGCTTCTCTAATAAACTATCTGTATAAAGGCCCCTGTCTTAATTTTTGCTTTCAAGAAGATTTCAGGCTAATTCAAAAGCATACATAGAAAAAAAAGTTGGAAAAAAGAAAGGGTGTGAATGAGATGAAAAAGCCATACACATTTACCTGACCATAAAGCATATCCAAAATACGATTTGAAAGAGTTTAGGATAAATGGGATAGGTGTAATAAACCTAAAAACATTAATACAATAAAAAAGGCAAAACTGCATTGTAAATGAGAAGACATTTACATCAAGTCCCCAAGTTTGAATAAAACTGTAGCAATTGAAGGAGATATTTATACCTAGCTTTCCTAGCAGCCAGAGCAAAAAATGGAAAATGTAGCTTTTAGTATTTAGTGGTTAGGAGCAAACCCATTAGTCAATACATGTAAATGTGTTCCAGATGCTGGGCTCCAAGAGAAATTGTTTCAACATTAAAAAAAAAATAGGTAGGACATTGAATAATGTAATAAATGGTGTTTTAACAATAGAATTATAATTAAAATTACAGAGGTATTCTATGTGGTTGCTTCATATATTAGTTTTTCATTAATTCCAAAGATATCTACAGTGCTAAAACTTTTCAAAAGAAGCCATTTTGGTTGGTTTAAAATGCACAAAAAATGTGTTTAAGTGCCAACTGATTGGAGCATGAAAGAAATAACTGTTACTTGAAAAATAATTTCGAGATCCACACTAACACAAACTATATGGTAGAACCAGAATGTAATCCCCAAAATGATAAATTTTAAGCAAAATTGTGTCCTGAAGAACTTTGAGTAAAATAAGATAGTTCAACACTGTACTCATGGATAACTAAATAAATTAACACGTTAAACAGCATTTCTTAATCATGAAATATGACAAATTTATTAAAAATATCACATTTTCCTCCTGTGGCTATGCAGACATTCCTATGGATTATGCCCTTCTTTCCTCCTGATATTGAAGGCATCCCCTGAAGTTCTTAACACAGTACTCCAGACACTGGGGGGAATTAGAAATTTTAGGTGAGTTGAATACTATTGGTTATCATTTGTATGTCTTAACTACTTGGCTGAGAAAGCATGCTTCCCATAAATGATTTTTTATTGAGAATAATAAGTATTTAGCTCTTTTCATTCATTTTAGTGTTTTTATTTTTCATTTTAAATGGACCATGAATTTCACAGCTCCTTCAGGCTACTTTTGGCACATATAATTTGCTCACTGTGTTCAAAACTGAAAACAAAGTGTTTGAAAATGGAGTGACAGCTCTAAGATGACTAAGATACCTAAGCACCATGGGTAAATTTTATCATGTTGTATTAAAAGTTTGATCTATGGGAATTTGAGACATAGTAGAAGTAAAGGAAGATTCTTTACCCCCAATGAATAACTTTTCCAGAAAGATCAGACCCACAACAATAGATATAAATGCCTACCAAGCATTATCAGAGCTATCCGTGCTTTAATCAAAAGAAGGCAGGCACTGTACCTTCCCTTCTGGAGAACATTTCCAAAAACCTGCCCGCGGCTCCCACTCCCAACCCTTCCCACCATCTCACCTACAGGCTAGTGTGGGCCAGACACTCAGAACTCTGAGAATTGTGATTGGTAAAGGAAAAACTCCATCTATCATTGTAACAAAAGTAACAATGGGATGAATCCCTTCCTAGATCAACACGCAATTTTTCATCTGATGATATTGTGGGAGATCTGCTCCAATAAATGGAAATCTCCTGTTATCCACTTCTGATCCCTGACATCTGCAGTACAATGAATTGCCACCGCTGAAAGAAGCAGCTTGGATTGTTTTATATGAGAGACATAGAAAGGAAAATATTCTATTATACATTTTAAATGGAATCCTCTCTGTCTTTAATGTGAATAGATGAATAAGGTGTCTACAGAGTGAGTACAGTAGTATATGATGCTAGTTTAAAAATAAATGTGTGAAGCTTTTCCGAAATAAGTAATGCAAAGACCAAATATTGATCTGTTTCTAATGCTACATATCCTTTCTGATGTATAGATATTAATTATCATAAATAGACAGAAAATGTAGCTAAGAGTAAAGTCACCTGCATTTTAGGTCAATAGAGGTTTTATGAAGGGAGGTCATACTGTAATCAAGAAGTTAAATAAGGAACATATTGACATTGCTTTCAATAGCCCTCATCTATCAGTCTAGAAACAGCAGTATATTTTATGCCTAAATGTCTTTCTGGTCATGAATAATTTTCAGGGAGATTAATTCTATGTCACTGAGTTTTGTTGATTAAAAAAAAAGAAAGTAAATGTCACAAGCATAAGGAAAACCTCAGTTATTTCTTCATTGAAAATGGAAGGCATCCATTTATTTGAAAAAGTGTAATTTCATGTGACTTATTTAGGACCTGCAGTCACATGCGGTTAGTGTTGGAGGAGCCCAGAGTTCCTAGCACAAAGGTTTTCCAATTCCACTCTTTGCAGTCCTGGGCTCCTCAGGTACGCCAGGGATCTGCCCACTCAGCGCCTCCCCTCAGTCTTGGCTAGACCAGTTATATTTTGTACTATTTATGTCAGGGTGGGACTTGTGATAGTTCACTTGAAAAACAGAATTTTGCTACTAAAAATTGCTAGACAGTCACTGTACCCCCTCATTTTACTACTCATTGTAGGGTCCCATGAAGCAAATAGAGCTAGGCCTCACCGCCTTTCTACCCAGGGTGGCTTCTTCTCTGTAGAATTTATGGGAACCACTCCTGTTTGAAAATGTTTATAGTTGTTTTGTTGTTGTTGTTCTGTTTTTTAAGTTTTACAGCTAACATCCAAGTTTAGGTCTAACTCTTATATAAGACTATTAGTTGCTTCAGAGACTAGAAATACTTGACTATTTTGATAAATTTGATTAGTCAAGCAAGTTTGAAAGGAAAAAAAGCATCAAAAAAGAACAAGAGAGGAAAAGAAGGAAAGAAAGAGAAAAAGAAGGAAGCAAGAGGGAGAGAAAGAAAAAGCGATAACTATTGATTTTGATCAATATGGCTACACTTGAGGCTGATGACCTCAAGTCTATTTTTTATATTAAGCCATTAAAATTTGAAACGTACTTTTACCTAATACCAGACCATATAGAAAATAAATATTTGATGATAACTGCTTATATGGGTTACGATTATTTTACTTTTAAATTCCATGCATCCTCTCCTATGTACTAGTATATGATGGCATTTAATAAATGAAATGGCAGGTTGTTCTGACAGAAAAAATATTAAAAGCTAATATAAAATCGAAGATATGTCATCCCAGGTTGGGCATTCTCAACAGAGAGACTATATCTCAAGCAAAAGTAAAACAAAAAAGTAAGCGGAAATGAAATCATCCCAGAATATCAGGCTGTTGTTTTTTATATTTATGAATAAAGACATTCAGTTCTGTTGAATAAGGGAGAGATATTAACTTGCTCTGCAAATCAAATAACCTAATTTGTGCTTATTATTATTCCTTTCATGTTAAGTTAATGTCATTTCTTTACTTTTTTGTTCCCCAAGACTACAAATTCCTTAAGGACAAGGGATTTACCTCTTACTCCTCTATTTTTTGCAACTAATAACACTCATAGACATCATGGTAGATGTGTTATTAGTATTTATTTAATGAATGAATGCATGAATAAATAAATATGAATGACTCCGGGCACAGAGCTTCTGGGTTACTTGTACTTCCTGGTTTCTCTCTAAGTCTGTTCAGAATATTCTCACTTCAAAGGTAACCTGGTGGCAAAAGTAGAATTATAAATTCAGAGTTCTTTCTCACTGCTTTCCACACCATTTTAGTGACTTCCAAACACTACTGAAAACCAAATTCACATTTATTCTAAGTCATTTTTAATGGAACAGAGGGGTAAAATTCTAACTCAGATGACTATGTTGTTGATTTCCCTTACACATCTTCACTTTAAGTTAAAAAACAAAACATGTAGGTACAAGCACACAAGTACAGATACACATACATGAGCATAAGGCCAGCATTTTACCTTTTAAAGTTCTTGACAGATTATTCACTTTTAGAGAAAAATCATAATGGACATTATTTAATGAGCAATTACAATGTGCCAAACACTATATAAAGCACTTACACATATTGCTTGATCTTCACAACATTCTTATGAAACTAGTTCCACCATTATCTCCATTATATAGTTGAGGAAACTGGTGTTTAAAGAAGTTAAGAAGTCGCATAAGCTCTTCTTGGAAAGACTTGGTTTCAAACCCAGTTATATCTGATGCTATATATGTTAATGTAGTCTCACTCCTTTTTGCATATCATCTAGCATGTATCGAGAGGTCTGGCCCAGAGTAGCAAAGAAGGAAGGTCCTAGAATGACTATAACTGTTTGTAAATGCCTTATTTCAAAACAGAGCTTTGCTTTTTGCTTTCTCCTAACTATTAGGTTTCAGTGACTTCCTAACACCATAAAAACAAGATTTGTGTGCATTTTAAAAGTCCCCAGTTTGCCAATTTAATGGAAGCCCAGATAATCAGGTGGTCGTCTCTTTGCTTATACATTCTTTAGATAGCAGGCCCCTTTTTTCAGTAGGTAATTCAGTGTAGGTTCATCTGAAAGAGTCATCTCTTTTTAATTTACAAATTTAAAAAGATCAGTGAAGTGTGAGGGCAAAATGGATATAAAAATACAAGAACATATGCAGAGGGTGTTGAAAAGAGTCAGACAATACAGTGTTTCTCAGCATGAGGGCTGCTCTGTCGCATTACTACTTGGGACATCTGTGCCTGCATCAAGCTGTCTCAGAGAAAGGCTTCGGGCCAACCCATCACGCAGACCTCGTCCTCCGCACAGAGCCATGGCAATTCTGCTATTCAGAAGCACCTGCCTACATATACAATTTGCTCACTGATGCTGCAAGGAGCATCAGAATTATGCACTGTCTCCATCTAATAACACCTTTGCAGCCTCTACACAACAGGGGCTCAGCAAGGCTCTTTTCATCTTCTCGCCCTCTGTAGGAAGTAAGAGCTATGATTTCTCTTCCTCTCACAGATTAAATTGTATTATCAGTTAGCAACGGGGCAGTACCAGCAGAATAAAATTAATGACAAAAGCAGACAGAAGAATTCCGGTGCCCTTGGCTGTGTTGGAGGCAGAGGTTTTGTTTCAAAAGCAATAACTCAATGAGGCATGAGCCCCAGTGCCCTGCAAGCTCCCTGGTGTTGCTCATTGAATCTAAAACCAGGAGTAGCACAGAACAGGCATCCCTTGCTAACAGCTAGTTTTGCTTAGGTGGATCCATCAGCAACCAAGCCATCCATGCCTCCCTTGTTCCCTTGCCAATCTGCACAGTTGCTCTTCTTCTGCATATATAGGTTTGCACCTGTGCTTTAATAAATAATTGGCTTAAAATAAGGGGTTGCAATTATCTATTTAAATATTCCTAAGCACCATCAGTAGGGTTTGCTTTCAGATTACTAAATTCAAGCTCATCAGGTCCATAAATGACATTTAAATGAGGGATGTTGTGAGGAGTGTTTTCAAATTGTAGGAATCCTAGTGCTTGGTTCTGATAAGAAGATGCAATAAAAGGTTGGATAATATCTTTGGGATTCATAAATTGTGAATGTAGTCTCCTGGTGATGCCACGGTCTGTATGTTGCTCACAATCTTGCAATTGCCAGTGTCATCATCACAATCTTAATTTACAATAGACACTAAAATAGCTTTTCCCAAAGTATGCTCCTTGGAAGATTAATACTGATATTTGGGTTCTATGGAGACATGCTGCCAAGATATGTTCCTGTGAATCTGTAGGAACAAGATATACTCTGTTGTGTGTTTCAAAATTATTTGGTTAGGAATCCCCCTTTCACAAAATATCTTGACGGATAAATACTCCATTAGAATGATCATTTGTGGGAAGAATGAAAGCACATGATAGCATATCATACGTTCATGCTAGAGTATGGGGAGAAAAAAGCACAGCCTTTCTCCTGTTTGAGCATTACCTTTCCCCATCAGGTTAAGACCCTGTAC